TTGGAAAAATATCTTTTTATTTCAGAGAAAATACAAATAACAAAATTCCGTTAAAATCGACATTTTTAGAAGCAAATTATTTCACAAGTTTGAGGGCTTCGCATTCAAAAATGAATCACAATCTCGTCTTTTTAACTCTCAAATCTTCTTTTTCAACCTCATAAGACCTCACAAAACGATTTTTGTATACACTGCGTTCCTCTTTGCGTGTAAAATAATTTAATTTCGAAAGCATACATTTCTCTTCAGTAAAAGTACTTTGTGAGCAAAGTTAATTTTCAGCATGTGCTAAACCTTCAAATGGATTAAGCTTTGGGCGATATAATAACGAAAAGATGTTCTAAATATTACTGTAAAAATTTCTTTGGGCAAATGATTGAGAGCGATACGAAAGCTTTTCAAAGTCCATTAAAATGCAGTCATTTGACCTTTCGCGGTCAACATTCCAGTCGCGAGTCACACACATACTTTAATATAATTCAACCCATATGACGCCGGAAAATGCACATGGGTACACATTTCCAAATGCTCTAACCTCATTTGCCTTAGAAGAAAGATCCAAAGACCATTTTACTGTGGTTATCTTGTCGCTCGTCGTATTTATAACGTCCGATGAAACTGCCTGTCAATCTGCGAACTGTCACCAACCTTCGTTATAAAACGTTTGACATCTTTCTGCACTTATCCAGCGATTCAGTTGACTGTGAGTGTTATTCGGTTTGTGGTGCAGTAGATCTGATCGATGCTTAGTAGCACTTCACATATGTTGCAGTCAACGTAGTTTTGTATACGGAGAGTCGTCACGCAATGCAAATCATACAATGGAAAGTTATTTTTTAGGGGGTAGGGGAAGGGGAAAGTAAAAAGACGTCACTACTGCTAAGCTTTTTTGTTGTTGTGAACATCGAAATCTCTTACATGTAAGTTGCGGAGATCGGGCCTTCGGCTAATACTCGTTGAAAAGCTAAATTTGGCACCTGCTAAAAAATGGTAAGCCTAAGTAAACAAAACCTGGTTTATGGTAATTACACGAAGCCCATTGCTCGCTTAGAGGCGGGGTTTCCGACTGTTTTTCACAAATACACCAACTTACACGGTCAACTTTGTTACATAAAAAATGGAAGGTTGTTGTTCGTTCAAGTCGCTTATTGGCGGAGTTTGTGGTTACAACACTGGAGATCGAATGCGTGAAACGGAAATTGTTCCTTTACTTTCATGCACCAAGAATATCGCAAGTCACGAGTCGGCTTTCAAATTTACCGGTCCTGAAGATGAGATCGACCTTATTTTGTGCCGAGCGCACATATGTCGGCCCGTCTGTGGTTTAAGGTTTTAAACGGTAATTGGGTCTGTTAACAGTGGTTAATAGTACCAATTCCTTATGCAAGCCCCACCTATTGGCCACGGAACATAGCACCCCAGCTTCACATAAGCCACACATTCCCACCACTGCGTTTTGTAGCATGGTGTTGTAAAAATGTACAAAAGGTTCTCTTTCATGCTATTAGGGTATTTCTTGCAATTTTATTGGAAAGAAAAACACCCCTAATAAGTACGACAGGCACAGAGCGCCAAAAAAACAAGAACAATTCCCTGCAATAAATAAATGTATTTTACTGTTTGTCACCAGACAACGATGACACTATTATAAAAATGTTTACAAAATAAAATATTTTGTGGGTTCCAAGAGTTCAATTCTGGAGTTTTGCCTTTCACCTACCCGCTAAAGTTCCTTTGTCACCGGTATTGCGTGACAAGCCAAATACTCAAAGGGCTTACATGTTTGTAGTCAACTCAGTTTAGCATTGAATTATACTGTCAGATGTAATCTTTTAGTGCATTGTAAACTGAGCAATACTCGCAGTCAACTGAACCGTTGAATAAGACGCCACAGTGAAGAAAGGTATCGAACGTTTTACAACAAGATGGTGTTCGACAGGGTTGGTGGTTTCATCGGACGTTATCATTTATACAGACCTAAATATGACGAACGACAAGAGAATCACACTAAAATGGTCTCTGGATTGGTCTTCTGCGACAGATGAGGTTAGAGCATTTGGAAATATCTTTCTATGTACATTTTTCGGCCTCATATGGGTTGAAACATATTAAAATATGTGTGACTCGCGACTGGAATGTTGACCGCAAAAGGTCAAATAACTGCATTTTAACGGACTTTGAAAAGCTTTTGTATTGCTCTCTAACATTTGCCCAAACAAATTTTTACAGTCATGTTGAGAACATCTTTTCGAAATTCAACCACCAAAAGCTTAATCCATTTGAAGGTTTAGCACATGGTGAAAATTAATTTTATTCACGAAGTATTTTTACTGAGGAGAAATGCATGCTTTCGAAATTAAATTATTTCAAGCGCAAAGAAGAGCGCAATGTTTACAAAAATCATTTTGTGAGGTCTTATGAGAGCGGAAAAGAAGATTTTAGTGTTAAAAAGACGAGATAGTGATACGTTTTTGCACGCGAAGCCCTCAAACTCGTGCAATAATTTGCTGCTAAAAATGAGATTTTAACGGAATATCGTTATTCGTATTTTTCTCTGAAATAAAAAGATATTTTGCCAAAAAAAGTATCCAGTGATTTTAGTTGTAGCCTAGCCTATCTAACATTAAAATAAGAAAGAAATCGAATTTTCCACCCTTGCCGCGATATGTTTGATTTTTACAGAGAAGCGCTCTTAAATACTCTCTTCAAAGGCAAGATTTTTCTTCAAAGTTTCTGTAATGCTTCGATTCCACCTTACATTTTTCTGTTACAAAAAGGTTTTTTTTTTATGGAGCGAAAGGCTTTGGTGAAATATGTATTGTCTCCTTTCATGTCTGTAGTATCACGACAGGTTGTTGAAAACTGCTCGCTAATCTTATCTATAAAATTCTCTCCTCAAATTTAAGTTAAGAGTTATTTTCCCCAAGTTTCTAAGATTCACCGATGACACTCGTTTCCTCTAAAAGGAAAAGTTAAAGTTTGTTTTATTTTTTTTTTATCAACCGCAGGCGAGAGACCATGATAAAGTAATTTTGAAGGTAGCGTCACAACAACCGCTAAGAAAATCATATCTGAGGGTTCTGTTTTTGGCACCAAAAAAGACACTCATCTTTCTTAAGTGTGTCGATCTTCAAAGATACTCGGAAACAAACAATTAGTAAAATGGGGTCAAAATTGGGTAAAGCTCGGTTTTCGATTGTTACACTCGTTCATTTTTATATTCAGATAACATAGTTGCATCGCCTCCGTTGGAGCAAGTGGCTGAAAAAAAAAGTAAAACTCGCATATTGAGTTTCTGAAACAAAAGTCATTGATGTTGACTTTTTTTTGTGCGTGCACATGAATATTTCACCATTGCTTTGAGGCGTGGATATCCTGGCAGCTTGAATTTTTTGGCCACGTTTTGGTAAGTTTCGGAAGAGAGTGTAGTTCTCGTTTGTAAAGCGTGAAACTCTAGAAACCTTCTTTGGAAGCACGAAGAGTTTCTTTGAGAGACAACAAAGGAGAAAAAAAGTCGCACATCCCGTACCAAAAGTCGATTGAATCTCTCTTTTTTCATATTTCTAACTTCAATCCTTAAAAGCACCTCTGACTAAACTTTAATTTTACTCAGACGTTTTTCGAAATTTCCTAACCGTAATATTTCACTCTCATGTGAAGGTGAAAGTTCAACAAAATCTACAGCGAGTACAACGAATTCCATGAAAGGGAAAAAAAAAACAGATATAAAAGTCACACTTCCTTCATAACCACTGATAGTACTGCGACATGCCAATGCCCGCAAGGAGATGTAATGTAGTACAACCAACTTCTGAGGGTTGGCTTTAGAACACTCGCTGACCGAGACTTATCTTCTGGTTTTTCTTTTTCATTCGGTAATCCGATCAACTAATTGTTGCGTTAGTATCTTGTGTACCTTAAGGATTCTCTTTCCTTCACTTGTTGCGTTAATCATTTGCCCAGTTTTGCTATTGTCTGTTATTGGTTTGTTATCTTAGAACCTTTCATTCGATAAATAAGTCAATTTCTCGTGAGCTTTTAGGATTATCTTCTAATTTATTGTTAGGTTAGTGTCTTGCCCACTTTCAGGATTCTCTTTAATTCAAAAGTTACTTTATTGTCATGCGCATTTCAGCATTGTCTTCGATTGGATTGCTACTTTAGTATCTTTCACACTTTTATGCTGCTTTTATTATCGATTGCTGTATTGTTATCACGGGCACTTTAAGTTAAGAATTTGTTCATGTTTAGCGTGCCTATATCGATTTATGGATGTACGCGGGAAGTTTGGAGGGCACGAAAAATGCGTAAGAGTAGCTCGAGGCGCAGCCGAGAGCCACTCTAGGTTTTTGAGTGCTCTCCAAACTTCCCAAGTGCACCCATAACTCGATATACGTACAGCTAAAAGCATGAGCAAATTCTTTTATAACAGAGCGACAACAAGGATCTGCGCGAAGAAGCCTTTTATTGTGATAGAGTGCAAAATTCTCACAACGCACAAAAAAAGTAAACAAACGTCCCTATTGGCTGGTCAAAAACACGCCACATTTTATTCTTTGGTTTGAGGGAGAACATTTGATCTAGTTAACCGATAACTGTGAATGAAAATTTGCGAAACGTGCAAATTGCGAGTTTTTTTCGGCTTTATTTTTGTTGCTTGTTGGATCAGGACCTAAAAGGTCAATGCCGATAGAAAAATTGGGCAGTTCTTCGCTGGTTTCTTCCATATTTCAAAGAGGAGGAAAACTGCACTGCAGCTTAACAGGACGGAAAGCTAGGTAAAAAATTGATCACGTCAACTTATTTACGCACGGGCGTGCGTAGATAATTAATATTTTGTTTATAGCGGCTTAACAGGACTTATATAGGGCAAGCACGCGCGTTATGTTATAATTTCTCTTTCTCTCAATTGTTTGGTTGGTATCTCGCAAACTAAAAGCTTTTCTTTCAATCGATTACTACCCTGGTATCCTGGACACTTTTAGGATTCTCTTTTTTTCGGATTGTTACGTTAGTACCATAACCGCTTTTAGAATTCCACTTTGTAGATTATTACGTTAGTACCTCGCGCACTTAAAGAATTCTCTTTCGTTAGATTATTACGTTAGTACCTCGTGCATCTTAAGAATTCTCCTTCATTGGACTGTTACGTTAGTATCTCGCTCACCTTAAGAATTCTCTTTTATTGGATTTTGTCACAGCACCTCGTGCACTTTCAGGATTTTCTTTCATTTAATTCTAACGTTAATATCTTGCACACTTTTAGGATTTTCTTTCATCGGATTGCTACGGTAGTATCTCGCGCTCTTTAAAGATTCTTTATCATTTGATTGTTGCATTTGTATCTTGTGCCGTTTAAGGATTCCCTTTCATTCACTACTGCTTCGTGCCCTTTTGCGCTTTTGATTGTTTGGTTCGTGTTTTGCCCACTTTCGGGATATTCCTTCATTGGAAAGTTACGTTAGTGTCTCGCGCATTTTTAGGATTTTCTAAGATTGGATTATGTTAGTAGCTAATTTTTTAGCTTCTATCTCTGTTTTCTCTTTAAGTTTCTCTTTCAGTTGATTGTTACTTCGGTATCTCAGGCAGTTTTAGGATGTTCTTTGATTACACTGTTACGACAGCATCTCCGCGCATTACCTATCTCGTAACTGTCTCGCGCAGTCTTAGGACCGCCTTACATTCGATTGTTACGTTAGTCTCTCCTTTAGCTTAGTATACTAGTGTTTTCATCCATTGTTTCGTTGGTATCTAGTGCCGTTCTATTTCTAGTCTTTTGTGCCCTCTTAGGATTTTAATCAAAGATCACAGGTAAGAGACTCGTTGATTCCGATGTTTAAAATGACAATGATTTAATTTCCTACACAGCAGGAAACGAATGACATGACCAAGACAACCTCTTTTTTACGCTGTCATCGTTCTAGAAATTAAGTAGGGGAAAAGATCTTTAACGTGCTACAAAATGGACACTAGGATGGATGATATGCAACGTTTAAGCTCACCTAAATCAAAGATGGCGTCTAGTTATCGATCGAGATGCATGTGCTGCATTTTGGAAACGAACTTAACGAGGAAGTTTGACGCGGATTTGTCTTTGCAAATCTTTTTAATTCACTAGATCTCTTGGTAAGGGTATGATGAAACATTCTAGTCGCCAATTTGGCGACTAATTTTCAGGATTTGGTCGCCAAAGTGAAAAATTTAGTCGCATTGGCGCCTGTATTGGGCGCAATTTCACGTCCTGATTATGCGATTTTTTGTTAAGGACAATTGACAAAACAGAATTTACGTGAAGACGGTTCTTATCTTATCTTATCTTATCGACGGAAAGCAGTTTTCACATCTTAAAAAGAAAAGCAACTTACGCTTCCACGTCCTCGAACAATCCAAGTTTACCCGGAAATATTTCAGACATAAGTACAATTACATATTCCAGGCCCGCCTTGCTGAATCGTTCTTCTAACTTCTGCGGATAAAATTAAAAGATGAAAGGATTCATGAAATCTGTTTTATGAGCTCTTTGGAAAAGATGATAACATGAATAATAACCGTCACGAGCAAAATATCCCTGAACTAGGGGTGTCCCCTCAATGACGGCATCGAATACAAGGGTTTTAATCAAAGTTTGTGTCCCTCAAGTAGAGAAAACGTTTAAATAAGGATGCCCAAAAAATAGAGATTCCTCTGCATAGACGAAAATATTCCACACATTACATCGTAAGAAAACTGGAGAATTTAAATTTAAATTTGCAGCCTTCCCCAAAGTTAATTGCATCAGAAAAACTTATATTTAGATGCGAGAATGACTTGATTTTATCCAGAGAGAGTTAATAAGTCATGTATTAAAGTGCATTTCGATAGTGTGCCGTAATACCAAAAACATAGTAGTCACCAGCAGATGTCCAATCACTATGTTGGAAAATATAATCAAAACCCGATGGGAACTAAAATTAAAAGGTACAGTGAGAGCAATATTATTGACCGAGTCACGATTGGTATTTGCCTTGCACCAGATTGGTTGAGAGGGTAGCTTGGATTGTTCACGTCAGTCAACCCATGACATGGCGAACTGATTGCCGATTACTTTCAACACACAACTAAAGGTTTAATTTTGAATCACACAAAGTAGAACTCCGTTCAAAAAGTATATTTACTCATAAAATTTTCACATTTTAGCTGTATGCAATACCTCTAGCACCTTTGGACTTCCTTGCCTTCCTAATGTACTCAGAATGAGTCCAAATTTCTTAGCTCTTGATGCTGTAGTTATGGCGTCTTTCCTCGCTTGAAACATGGCATCAATATCGTAATATTCCCTGGAAAACACTTTGCTATAGGGATCGTATCTGCGATGAAAGCGAAAGTGCAGTAGAATTTTAGTACAAAGTTGTGTGTCTCAAAGGCCCAGAGAGGTATACAATATCTAACAATCCAAAGCATACAAGGCGGTAGGGGGTCTGTTTTAGTGAGGGCATAGGGAAAACACTGGAAAAGACGGGAATCGCACTCTGTCCACACAGACAGTATGCCTTTACTAGAGACAAACAATTTTTTAATCGAAAAAGTGATGAATTTTTATTCACAGAATAACACGAAAGAGGTCTGAAAAAATCAGGCTTCAATGATGGCTCAATCTGCTGCCTCTCTAGCTGTTGAGCACTGCAACCAATTGAAATAATATGAAGCTACATGTTATGCAAGGTACACGTAAAGAAATCTGCCTTTTGAGGTTCTCTACGTGTACATGTATGCTGGTGTAGACGGGTTAGCAATCATGACAGCCTCTAGATGGAGCCTTCCATCACCTAAGTAACTAAAAAAAAAGTTTAAGTTTAAAGATCATTCCAGTGAAAAAATTGAAACAAGTACCTGCTGTGGTCGGTGGCATGTGCCTAAATGATAGCTGCTGCTTATAATCAAAATGGTAAATACAGTGACAAAACAAACATTTAACTAGGAATAATTGCAATAATAACACATTAATCAAAAACATAACACCCACTTATCTGTTTCCCAATTTAGTTTTTGATAACACTTTTACTCAATTTCCACCCAATTAAATGATTAACCCTTTCACTCCTATGAGTGACCAAGATAGAATTTCTCCTTACAATATCAATACAATATCAAGCAGACAAGTGATGAACTAAAGGAAATATCAATTAGGGTAGCTGTAGTTCATCCAGCACCAAATTCTCCACACTAACATCAAAAGAAATGGTAGACAGTAAGGAGGATTACTAATGAGATCTTGGGAATGAAAGGGTTAATTGATTTTAAGTTAGTCCTCAGAACAAACATGATTATTTTAGTCAAAGTGGGCACCATTGTTGCTAGGCAACATCACTAAACAATAAATATGCCAATTGGACACAGCAGGAAGAATATCAAACAATTCTTCCAGAAATAAGACAGAGGCTCAATGGGAGTTTTCCTGACAAAACAACGGACATTGTGAAAACACAAACAAACTGCCTAATTTTCATCCTAACTACAGTGATCCTTGGCTCAGAATATTGTTTTATTTATAAGCAAATAGCTTCAGATCTAATGGTGCAAATTTTTAATGAAACTAAACCACTACAGTACTTACAACTAGATTTGCCAATACAAATAATAAGAAAGATTTTCAAAAGAATATTCAATTTGTTTAAGAATACTTGCTATGAAAGAGTTGGTGCAGTTTTCTTAAATTCATAATGAACTAAATTACATAATTATTTCATTGTTTTGCTTAATAATTTTCTTACATGAATGCATCCTTGTGTTTTATTCTAGGAGCAGTGCAGCCCAGAATCTCTCCAGGTGACAATGGTTTACACTGCGGAATCTCTACCTGATAATCTTTACACAGGTCTTGATATACAGACTGGGTAAACAACAAATGAAATACATATATGTCAAAATTATTTGAAAGTATGAACACAATAAAAGGAGACACTGGGTCCAAACCACAGGGTTTAAGTCTCAGCCAAGTCAGTGTTGCATTCTCTCTCCCCTCTCTCTAGCTTGGAGAGAAATGGGTACCAGTGAGTTGTCATGGAAACTTGAAAAAATACCTGATAGAGAACCATGTGAGATGCTCCTCCCATCCAGAAGAAGGCCAGTCAGTCATCCGACTGTCGACCGACTGTCAACCAATATATTGGTTAAGTATCGACCAACTCTCTACCAATATATTCAGTCGAGAGTACTGTACCTACAATAAACATGATCCCGATATTGTCCTATCAGTGTAATCATTTAATACATACTTGAAGTGTTGTCACAAACTGGATTGTGCTCAAAAGTGCAAGTGACTTTCCAGCTTCAAAATTGTGTCTGACTGTATTGACAAAATGTGTGGCATCCAGCTTTATGTCCACAAATACATATAACATCTTGATTCCTTTAGTTGAGTCAATAGGAACTATAGAACGGCATAGATAGAACAGCTGGAGAGAAAAAGAAACGAAAAGATGCAGAAGAAGTACTGTATATAATAATTTCTTTTTATCCTCAACCTTTGTGTTACTGTCAACTATGGCTTGCTAATTCGAAAGGTCAAATACATCAATGGGTCATATGACATTAATCTCAGAATACTTTTATGACAAACATGATAACAGTTCAATCTTGGCTAAATTAAAGATGGTTTAGAAGTTAACAATTATAAGAACTTTTCTCTAACATATGCTGCTGACAAAGGAGAAAATATATGCAATTCTGCATTTTTTTCTTTCTATCAATAAAGCAATCATATGTTGGCTCCTATGACACTTCCATTTTGTCACATTCCAAAAAATAACTTGAGAAATACACTGTCACTCATCTTACACTGTTATATTTACCTATTACAGAAGGCTGGAAACAAAGATTTTGTTTTCAAGAAAATAATATTTCTTGTCCAAAACACAAGGAAGTTTGACTGCAAAGCACAGATAAAAATGCGAGAAATTTCATATTTTCAGAGAACAAGGTAGTTCTACTCATGTATAAACAGAACAAATCCAGTTTAATAAATCAGATATGCGGCATGACTCCTTTTCTTCCATCCCCACTCAAAACAAGCAAACACACCTATAGAGGTTCCAGTCTGGTCTGCAAATGAAAAGGAGGAAGGTGATCACTGCAAAATTGAGGATTAGGGTCCTTATTTATAACATATTGATTATCGTATACTGATATCAAGAAATTAAGACTGAAAGTAGCAGCCAGCTGAGTTATAGTTTGAGTTTTATCAAGTCTATTACTTTGTTAAATTTAGAGTAACCTTGTCTTGAGAGAGGGAAATTGAGGAGCTGTAATATACTTATCATCAATTAGGGACCACAAAAAAAATTTATTTATAGAGACTTTTGAAGGAGAGGGGTAAGACTTGTGACAAGCTGGCAGACATATAAATAAACTTTACTGCTAAATGGGTTACAATATAAAGTGCTCAGTATTTGGATTAGCTATGGCTCAACTTAAACTTTGCTTTAGCTTCAAGTTTAATCCTTTGTGGTTTCCTTTCTCTGTGTTTATTTTCAGGTTATGTTACCCAGAAGAACACAAAAATGACAAGGAATGCTTTTGAATATTAAAAGGCTGGAATAAGAAAGAAACCAAACCTGAATTTTAAACAGTACAAAGTTAATTTGGTCTTCCAATGTTATTTAATTTTAACTATTAATAGAATTTGCTATTTAAATTTATCCCCTCCATTTTTCTGGATATTGTGAGCAAAAACAAACAATTATCCCAAAATGCATGGTATACAATGGTTTAATTCACCAATGTGGCAAAGGCCTTTCACTGTCTATCCATAAAAAGGGAAATAATTTGTAAAATGTAAGACATTCTGCATCTTGAGTATATACTTATTCATCCATGTGAAATTAAAGGTTACTTGAAATAAATGTGGAAGATTTATAGGATTTTCAGACCCCTGATAACAATTACTGATGTGCTGATTTGTTGTACTTAAAGGTTATGATTTTAGTGGAAATAGTGGAAGAAATTTCTGGACCTGGAATTTTGTTGCAAATGTCTGTTTAAGTCAGTTTAAGTCAGTTAAAAACTCTCCTGTTTCAAGATTACATGATTGCCACACCAGAACCTTTTGTATTCTATATTATGCACCATGTTATGATTATGGTTTCAATAATAAAAGGTGCTGACTCAAGAACTTTGCAAAATATCTCTACATACAAAGAAATAGATTGTTGTTATGTACTCCAAATAGCAGGTCACATCATGATCAGTCTTCTGTAAGGAAGTAGCAGAAATTGCTATGGTGGTTTTAGTGGATGGAGAGAAACATCCACCAAAACCACTTTATTCTATGTGTTATGAGTTATGATAATCATTATGGACGTTTGGTCGGTCAGCAATTGTGCACCATAAAAAATAATTAGCCAGAGCACTAACTGCTAATTAGTGGTATAAATCTTTTGTCTCCCTGAACATCTAACAGTGGCTATAGATAAAATTAAAAAAATATATTGTTGGTGGTTTTGGTCAAAGTTTTGGTGGATGTTCCCTAATGACATCCACCAAAACTACGTAACATCTGGGCACCTTTTAAATACGTGAAATATCTGCATAAAAATTGCGTAAAATATTTTATACTACTACAATCGAACAATAAATTAATACTTACCATTTCTCGAGTAAAAAGTTTTGACGCAATTTCCCAAACAAATAATACACTTAGGTCATCGGGATAAGTCGGCATGTTGTCGTAGCTTCGTAATTTTCAATTAGTATAACAAGTCATGAGTTGTCCATCATTCCATCTCAGTCCCTCTCGACCAAGGTGGTTTTGGTGGATGGAATCTAATGCTGACCGATGCTGACCGTACAATACACTATGAAAAAACGCCGACTGGAATCCAGTCTTCACGGCTCACTGAACGCAAATAGAAACCACGTGACAAGCACTTCTCTCTCGTGGACAAATAAATAACTAAATAAATAAATTTCGCGGGCCTTGACAAAGTGCGGGAAATCCCACACAAAAACTGTTTTGTTACTGCCGTGATTTGTGAGTTTTGATTTGAGATTTGTCAACAAGATCTGGTCAAATTTCAAACTTCCATTTCATTTACTCTTTGTTTAGAGAAAACATTGAAATTAAATTTTCTGGGAAAAAAAACAAACTTTTAAAACTTTCTTCAACACTTTATAAGCTTTTCAGTGATATACAGTTTTCCAAGTGTTTCTTTGAAAGTAGGGCGCGTAGAACAAAATGTTTTTTTCCAGAATTTTTCCTTGTTTCCTTACATTTCGATGTTTTCTGCGCATTTTGTTGCATATTTGTCGTCTTTACTTGAACTCCCTCGACTAGGCCACACAGTTCATGGTCATCAAGGCAGGCAAAAGAGTGCTAGTTCCTCTTTTTCCCTCTTCTTGTTCCTCACTGGGGAAGGGATGGAAGCCAAACCCTAGATCAAATATTAGCACATACTCCTCCAATTCCAATATTTATCACTTACACTTGAGATGACTGTGCGAGTATTGGGAAAACTTTGAGTTTGAAATGTTTTCAAATTGCGCCGGCAAACATTGAAAGTGTGACGTCCAAACAAGCTGTGTTTACATACTCTCATCTAAACTAACTAGTTGGCCTATGAGAGCGTGCGAACTATCTCAATTATCTTATAACCATCATTGGTTATAAAAGTGTGACTTGCAAAACCGAATTACAGTCACTTGGTTTTTTTTGGCTTCGGTCATGCAAATCACACCCGCTAGAAAATGAAAAGTTCACGAAGACAATGAGTCCATTATCACGCAAAGATAGCTTAGCGTTAAAAAGAAGAGACTTAGGTTGTACTGTGATTGATCTTGAGATGAAAATCAAACCTCTCAAAGGGGTAAGCCTGACATTTCCTGTTGGAAAAAGAATAACACTTTTCATTTTCCATGTTCAATTACATCATGACCGATAAAAGTGTGACGTACGAAACCGAAATACTTTGTACTTATTGATTCAGTGGTAGGGGCGCAGCGAGGTCCTTTCTTCATGACCCTGAGCTAAATATTTTCCCCACTGGTCCCACCAAATTCTGTCAATAAGCATTTTATCGTATGACCACTAACTGTTAAAAATTTTTAACCTAAATGGGATGCGATAGACGGGCATACAGGCACACAAAAAAATATGCAATTTAAAACTTTTCCTTTTATTTCGATTAGCCCCGAGGGGGAAGGGAATATCCTGAACACACGTGATCTGGATGCATTAAACACTGTGACAGCGGAAGTTTCGGAAGGTTGGGAAAAGTAATTCGTTATTTTTGTTGTTTCATTTTGAAAGCATCAGCCACATTGTCAACATCTTGGTAAGTGCGATTGAAAATCTTTTCTAGTCACTCGGTTGTTATCAGCCTTAGTCATTTAGTAACTGTAGAGAGGTAAGGCTCTTATGGCAAAGCCCAGTACCTACTTTATCCCTTTATTATTTACTTTATCCAGTACCTGATCTTTATGTTTGCAATATGTTACGTTTCGAGTGTTAGCCCTTCGTTAAAGCGGTTGATGGCGCGATTGAATCGTCACCACAGTGAAATAAATTGATTCTACGGCGACTTTTTTCAATCTCTGTGGCTTTATACCGTATAATTTATCCTCATTAACTAAAACAAGGTTATTGAGTATCGTTCAATCTGAGAAATTGATGATCATAAAACTAGACTGTCCCACGCTGACATCATAGGAAATGCGTAGTGCTTCATTACGTGGTTTTCCAGAGGCTATGATCTGCACTGGCTATTAACTTGACACTTTTTTAGGAGAGTTTAAAGATCGATTCAGAGATCGCGGTAGATTCCAATTGAATTTCCGTTTTCTACTTGTACACAAACGTTTCATGGTCGAGACACCATTCACTTAAATTTTTAGATACTAGCGTCGGGTTCTACGGTACATATTTTTCTAAACGCCGTAATCCGTTTTTTTGTCTGCTTACGCGCTAGAGCCTCGCATAAGAAGATAAGTCATGACGCTGCGCGCTCACGAAGAGAGATGTTTTAATTTTCTGAGAGAAACTAAGACTTTCTTAAATTCAATGTTACTGCATACGTAGTATAGGCGTACTTTTCCGTTGATCGGATGCTTCATATCTCCACCGTTAAATGGCTTTCTTAAAACAGTTAAGGTTTCATACAATAAATTTCAACCAGAATGTAACTAAGATTGTTCAGCATTCACGTGATCAATCATGCAGAATGTCCTTTACTGATGTCAACAGAGGCGGCCCAAGCTCACACTCGAGAAAAAGCAAACGATTAATTCATGAAAGCGTCACGCGTTGTGTGACTCGGTGTTAACTTACCAGAGTTGAACACGTCGTAAGGACTTGTATGGGGAATGAAAGATGGTCGATTTGAAGTTATAAAAATGTGACGTACAAAACCGAAATAGATTCACTGCGGAGTAAACTACGGATCGGTTTTCCATATCAGTTCATGAAAAGTTGATTATCGCTCACAGATAGCTTACCGTTTAAAGAAAGAAGCTTTGGTTCTGTTGGTATCGATCTTGTAATGAAATTTCGATTTTCGAAATGGATGGACACAGAAGCCTGACGTTTCCTGTTAAAAAAAGAATGAAATAATTTATTTTTACATGTTCAATTCTATCATTGGTCACAAAAGTGTGACGTACAAAACCGAAATTCATCCCCCACCTCTCCCTTCCTCAAAAGAAATATGAAGTACTATTAAGTATGACTATTAATTATTACTGAAAGTCAAGCCACCTCCTATCTCTGATGTCATTTGCTTGTTGCCATATTTCAGTCACTGGATTAACGTCTTCAAAGGTAAGGCCAGTGATGTGGTTATGTTCGAGCAAATTTTTTGTTTAGTATTGTGTTAATAAAAATAATGTTTCCCTGATAACAGGAGAGGATTGCAATGGAAACCTAACAGCAGAAGCCATGACACCTTTCATGAGCATCGCCTTACTTGTTGCCCTCTTCTTGCTCAACTCAGATCGCACTCAGAAAGCCATTGAGATATGCAGCGAATGTTTGATTTTGCTAACTTGCACCGATCAAAACAGCAAAGACCAATTTGATTCGGCACTGCTACAATTTTACAGCGACATCTATACCATTCTTTTCAGCGCTTATCGTCATATCTCTGACTACATAAGTGCGGAAAGATACGGGAGGAAACTGTTTGACTTATACAGAGAGTATGGAATTATGCTTTATAAACTTGGCGAAAGCCTAAAAGCAAAGGAATATGCTGAGAGGGCCCTTGCCATAACAACCAAAATTGGCGACAGAAGCGGAGAAGCATTATGTTATGGAAACTTAGGTACTGTGTTTGAGTCGCTTGGCCAATACGACAAGGCTGAAGAGTATCACCAAAAAGCGCTTGTCATCACAACTGAAATTGGCCACAGAGAAGGGGAAGCATCATGTTATGGAAACCTAGGTACTGTGTTTAAGTCGCTTGGCCAATACGACAAGGCTGAAGAGTATCTCCAAAAAGCGCTTGTCATCACAACTGAAATTGGCGACAGAGAAGGGGAAGCATCATGTTATGGAAACCTTGGTACTGTGTTTAAGTCGATTGGCCAATACGACAAAGCTAAAGAGTATCACCAAAAAGCGCTGGTCATCACAACTGAAATTGGCGACAGAAAAGGGGAAGCATCATGTTATGGAAACCTAGGTACTGTGTTTCTGTCCGTTGGCCAATACGACAAGGCTGAAGAGTATCTCCAAAAAGCGCTTGTCATCACAACTGAAATTGGCGACAGAAAAGGGGAAGCATCATGTTATGGAAACCTAGGTACTGTGTTTCTGTCCGTTGGCCAATACGACAAGGCTGAAGTGTATCTCCAAAAAGCGCTTGTCATCAGAACTGAAATTGGCGACAGAGAAGGGGAGGCAAGTGACTACGGAAACTTAGGCACTATGTTTCTGTACGTTGGCCAATACGACAAGGCTGAAGAGTATCTCCAAAAAGCGCTTGTCATCAGAACAGAAATTGGCCACAGAAAAGGGGAGGCATCATGTTATGGAAACCTAGGTACTGTGTTTAAGTCGATTGGCCAATACGACAAGGCTGAAAAGTATCTCCAAAAAGCGCTTGTCATCAGAACTGAAATTGGCGACAGAGGAGGGAAAGCATCATGCTATGGAAACCTAGGTACTGTTTTTCTGTCCGTTGGCCAATACGAAAAGGCTGAAGAGTATCTCCAAAAAGCGCTTGTCATCACAACCGAAATTGGCCACAGAGAAGGGGAGGCATCATGTTATGGAAACCTAGGTACTGTGTTTGAGTTGCTTGGCCAATACGACAAGGCTGAAGAGTATCTCCAAAAAGCGCTTGTCATCAGAACTGAAATTGGCGACAGAGAAGGGGAGGCAAGTGACTACGGAAACCTAGGTGCTGTGTTTCTGTCCGTTGGCCAATACGAAAAGGCTGAAGAGTATCTCCAAAAAGCGCTTGTCATCACAACCGAAATTGGCCACAGAGAAGGGGAGGCATCATGTTATGGAAACCTAGGTACTGTGTTTGAGTTGCTTGGCCAATACGACAAGGCTGAAGAGTATCTCCAAAAAGCACTTGTCATCAGAACTGAAATTGGCGACAGAGAAGGGGAAGCATCATGTTATGGAAACCTTGGTACTGTGTTTGAGTCACTTGGCCAATACGACAAGGCTGAAGAGTATCTCCAAAAAGCGCTTGTCATTACAACTGAAATTGGCCACAGAGAAGGGGAGGCATCATGTTATGGAAACCTAGGTACTGTGTTTGAGTTGCTTGGCCAATACGTCAAGGCTGAAGAGTATCTACAAAAAGCGCTTGTCATCAGAACTGAAATTGGCGACAGAAAAGGGAAAGCATCATGTTATGGAAACCTAGGTACTGTGTTTAAGTCGCTTGGCCAATACCACAAGGCTGAAGAGTATCTCCAAAAAGCGCTTGTCATCAGAACTGAAATTGGCGACAGGAAAGGGGAAGCATCATGTTATGGAAACCTAGGTACTGTGTTTCGGTCCGTTGGCCAATACGACAAGGCTGAAGAGTATCTCCATAAAGCGCTTGTCATCACAACTGAAATTGGCGACAGAGAAGGGGAGGCATCATGTTATGGAAACCTAGGTACTGTGTTTGAGTTGCTTGGCCAATACGACAAGGCTGAAGAGTATCTCCAAAAAGCGCTTGTCATCAGAACTGAAATTGGCCACAGAGAAGGGGAAGCATCATGTTATGGAAACCTAGGTACTGTGTTTCGGTCCGTTGGCCAATACGACAAGGCTGAAGAGTACCTCCAAAACGCGCTTGTCATCAGAACTGAAATTGGCGACAGAAAAGGGGAAGCATCATGTTATGGAAACCTAGGTACTGTGTTTCGGTCCGTTGGCCAATACGACAAGGCTGAAGAGTATCTCCAAAAAGCGCTTGTCATCACAACTGAAATTGGCGACAGAGAAGGGGAGGCATCATGTTATGGAAACCTAGGTACTGTGTTTGAGTTGCTTGGCCAATACAACAAGGCTGAAGAGTATCTCCAAAAAGCGCTTGTCATCAGAACTGAAATTGGCGACAGAGAAGGGGAAGCATCATGTTATGGAAACCTTGGAATTGTGTTTAGAATTGTTGGTGATTTTGAAGCTTCGGAAGTATGCTTGGAGAAAGCTTTATTCGTATCCAGAGATATTGGAGATGGAAGAAAAGAGTTCGAAATCCTTGGAAGTTACGCTGTTTTGTATTTATACCAATATAAAATCAAAGACTCCCTGTCGTGTCTTCATCTGTGCATTGAAAAGTATGAGGAGCTGAGATATTTATTGGGCGCCAATGATCAGTTCAAAACATCATTTCTGGAGCACACAGGAATATTTCCCTACAAACTGCTTTGTACTTTGCTTTGTGACACCGGAAATGCTCGGGATGCTCTTTATGTTGAGGAGTTGGGTCGAGCTAGAGGCCTATCAGACTTAATGGCAGAGAAGTACTCGGTTGAAACGCACATCTCTGCTAATCCACAATCTTGGTTTGGCATTGAGAACATTTTAAGAAAGAAAAAAAACTGTGCTTGTCTGTACATTTCTTATTTTCAGAATTGTCTGCATTTGTGGATCTTGAAAACAAGTGGAGTCCTTCACTATAGAAGAGTATCACCAGAAGAGAATCTAGTTCAGGCTGGGTTACCCAAAGATTTGTCTTTGAGTCAATTTTTGGATGATAATTTCCGGAGCCTTGGTATTTTGCCCACTAAAGATTGTGAAGATCGGTCTTTAAGTACGATTAAATTGCAACCTCTCTCCCCCGCGCAAAAGAGCTCAGCAAGATTGCGACTCGTGGAGGAGGACGAGGACGAGGACGAGGACGAGGACGAGAAAGTGATTTCAAGTCTATATTTGTGTCACAAAATGTTCATTGCTCCCGTTTATGATTTGCTTGATGAGCCTGAAGTCATTATTGTTCCTGACCGCAGGTTGTACAAAGTTCCCTTTGCTGCCCTGAGTGAAAAGGAAGGAGCCGAATACTTGTCAGAGACTCATAAGATCCGTATCATTCCTTCGTTGACAACACTCAAGAACATTCAAGATAGTCCAGAGGACTATCACAGCAACACTGGTGCCTTGGTAATAGGCAATCCCAAGGTTAATTGGCTGCAACCATTGCCAGGTGCAAGAAAGGAAGCGGAGATGGTCGGACGACTGGTGGGTGTTCCACCTCTAGTTGAAGAGAAAGCAACGAAGCAGGTGGTACTTGAGCGGATAAGTTCAGTGAGCTTGATACATTTTGCTGCCCATGGTAACGCGGAAAGAGGAGAAATTGCACTCTCCCCCATTCCTACTCCCAACAGTCAAAACGTTACCCCACCGAAGGAAGCTTACATGTTGACAATGGCTGATGTCTCACGAGTGAAAGTCAGAGCTAAACTTGTGGTACTTAGCTGCTGTCACAGTGGAAGTGGAGAGATAAGAGCCGAGGGAGTTATAGGAATTGCCCGTGCGTTCTTAGGATCCGGTGCTCGCTCGGTGTTGGTTGCGCTGTGGGCCATTCCAGACTCAGCAACAGAGCAGCTGATGAGTCGGTTCTACGAACACCTCATTGAAGGTGGAAGTGCCAGTGAATCCCTTCATCATGCCATGAAGTGGATGAGAAAAAACGGCTTGAACAAAATGTCTGAGTGGGCTTCGTTTACGCTGATTGGAGATGATGTGAGACTCGAGTTTGACAAGCAGCGGCAAGATTCAGTGAGAACAGGTATTTCATAAATTAAAGTTAGATTGGACGTGAAGTTGTTACCTTGAACATCAAGGCTAGTTTAATATCTATCTATCTATCTATATATATATATATATATCTACACACACTTGTTTTCCTTTTTGAAGGGTTACTATCTCCGCTCTCTGGTGTAAAGTGTAGAATCTCACAGATGCCTCTCTACCAATGAGATACAAGTAATAGCCATTAGGGGATCCTCGCAGCTAAGAACACTACTGAAACGAGTAGTTGTAAATAGGACCTGAAAAAAATTTTTTTTTCAGGTCCTATTTACAACTACTCGTTTCAGTAGTATTCCTAGCTGCGAGGATCCCCTAATTTCATCTTTCCACCGAAGTGCAAATATGTGAATTTTCATATATCTAAAAGTAATAGCCAATTATTTATACATATTGTGCTTGGTGTAATTGTATTTGCTTTATATCCAAAATGTTAATTTAGGTAATAATAAATTGGGTTATTTCAATTTTTTTCTTGCAGGAAAAAAGACCCCGATAGAGTAAATAATGACAAGTACTCGAAGGGAACAAGGTTAAAAGACTTTTAGATGGATTAATTAAATAGAAATAAGTAGAGAAAATACTCTATCCGGTATTTCATCGACATTGAAAAAAAGAGCTATCCCAGGTTAGGGGAGATTTATTCCAATTTTTGGTGCTTTCTTTACTAATATTCTCAGGAGGAGGTAATGGTTATGTACTCAACAATTTCTTGTTTTTCACGCAAAAATTATATTCTGATATAATAAGCACGAAACAATGTTGACCTACGTAAAGCTTTTGAGTAAAACGAATTCAGTAAAGTTAAGACAGTAGTAGTACAGTTTAAAAATTAAACAAACCACTAAAATTGGGTTTAATTCTTGTATTTTCAAGCCTTTTGTAAGGAGTCGTGCCGGCCCGTAAACACTTTTTAAGTGGCGTTAAGATAGGATTCGCAAAAGGGGAAGCGTTGCGTTTCCTAAAAATAAATCCGAAGCACTTTACATTAAAAAAAAATCGTACAGAGCTTAAAAATACGACTAAAAGAGGGGAAAGAGGATACCTGACGAAGCTCTGGAGAAATACGTGTCTGAAGTTATCTGCTCTAGTAGAGAAGGATCACTTCCGGCTTTACTAAAGCTCAAGAACACGCTGATGTGGAAATGTCACATTCAAAATCACATGGCCATAAAACATTAAAGTAAAACACTAAAGTGGCCAGAACTGATCTTTGGAGACAGAAATTTAAAATCGCTTGCGGATGGCGGGAGTGTTTGAGTTTTTCTGCTAGGATCAGAGTTTTAGACAGCATACGTACTCTTGTCATTAAGCAGAGAGCTTTGTCGTGATATTGCTGTTTGTCCATAACCACAACACAATTACCCTTGTCAGCAGATAATACGAGCCTGTCCGGATCCTTTTTGAGAGCTATAAGCGCATAAAGCTATAAGCAAACATCCTTTTGAATGTTTTTTGGGAGGAGGTTTAGAACGTGACGATGGCGGTTTGCTTCCTGACGCCTATTTACACCTCGTCAGAAAAAAAAAAGGCCGCTAATTAGTGATCATATAAAAGGACCTCTAGTTACAGCGTCTAGATCACCCCTGATGAAGGCACTAGAAAGGATTGTCGAAACGTTGGGTCTATGAATTGTATCTTCTTCGGTTACATTCATTAAATCTGCAAACCAGAGTAGCATCAAACTATGTCTGATTGTCCACCTGGTTGCCGTGTGAACTTTCATGTATTAGATAAGAAGGCATTTGCTTACCTTGGCTCCTTCCAGTCGGCCTACAGTTGATGAAGCTCGGGATCTTTTGGTCGGTAACGGTCCATGGAAGCGCGCTTGGCTGTCATCTTCAGATCGCCGAACCATTGATTCGAAAATTCCGTATTCCCTCGCTATCTCTCGATTGTTGTTAACAGCTTCAGCTTCAATTACGATTTTCAACTTGAAGTTGAGATCATTAGAATGACGGCGAGTGTTTGGCATGATTGTGCTGAATGTAGACTTCGCAAGATGATGTTCACCAGGGGGAAGTAAATTTCGACGTGCGACTACTGATTTTCTTGATCGAATTGTTTTTATACTTTAAAACCATGTTTCCCGAGAGGGAAGGCTAAAAATTAATTGCGGGCGACCAGCGGAGCCCGCAATCCTAATCTCAACATTGGTTACAAACGCATGCGCAGCAGTTATATAGCCTTGCAGTGACTCGAATTTAGCAAAAAAAGTCGTCCTTCCAAATATTTGTCCCTAAGGACACTAAGAACCAATGAAATGAAAGGACGTAATTTGAGCATAGGCGCTTTGACCACGCGAGACAAACACGAAGCAGCAGTAATTTGAGCACAGGCGCTCTGACCGCTAGAAGCCAACACCAAGCAGAAGACAATTCTCACCAAAGCATAGCTGTTTCACGTTCCATAGTCAATGATCTTTAATGTAGTTGAAGGGCTCAAATAATATGTAAATTTCGCCTTCTTGAAGCTAAGAATGTCAAGAATCACGTGCAGTTCATGCAGAAGTGGCGGTCCATAAATTGGAATGCACACAACACAATTTTATCACGTGGACGACGTCTATTTCGTCGAAGAATCACGTGCAGTTCATGCATAGCTGGCGCGCCGTCCAATCAAAATCGAGCGTGTGAACTTGTGATCGGAACGTTTCCTGTTCGTGTCTGTTGTTGTCGGGTATCGAAATCTTCCGGCCATTGCGAGAGATCTGTGTTCCTCCTTGGCGTTGTTGAACTGTAGAGCGAGAGCTGTGCGTCCATTGACCTTGGCGTTGATCCATTGAAGACTTGAACTGTAGAGCGATCGAAAGCTGTGCGTCCATTGACCTTGGCGTTGATCCATTGAAGACTTGAACTGTAGAGCGATCGAGAGCTGTTAACCTCAGTGAAACAAATCATGCATAGCCCTCGCACGCACTTCCTAACCTGCGGTTATTACTAGTATGTACCGATAGGTTGTCATTAAATGTGTGACTTTTTTTGCCTTTTGTTTATCTCATGTGATTAAATGTGTGACATTTTTCGGCTTTTGTTTATGTGTGTGACATTTTGCTTTTGTTTAATCAAGGCTCTTGTTTATGCGTGTGGTCGCGTGTGCGACAATTCTGCTTTTGTTAATTAACGGTAAACTAAAATCAATACGCCACTTTTTGGCTTTTTTGTAAGTTTATGAAAGAATTTACAATAAACTTGACCGATCTTTACTCCCCAAACAACGATGCACCTTATAACTAAGTATTTTAGCGATATTTTCGGTTTGAAAACACGCAATAATGAAGTTGCCGAATTGGGGGTGCGTCTTATAGCCGAGTGCGCCTCATAACCGAATAACTACGGTAGTATGGAGGTAATTACCAGAACTGATTTGGTTCTTACTTGTTCTGCACTTTTCCATGCAGACCGTTTCCTGTGAAACGATCATAATCCATGTATTTTTGTTTTGAAAGGCACCAAATTTAAAACTAAAAAGTTTAGTCCAATTGCAATGTAATGAATCACTTGCTAACTTTTCTTGCTCAAAATCTACTGAGGAATATTGGCCATCCGCTGTTTTTGTATGGCCCTCAGGCTTGGTAAGAAGTTATCATTTGCAGTTATGGCTGAATTAATCTGCTGCAAATTTACATTTATAAAATGAATGAGAGACAGTTGATTTCATTTTGATTCATATTTTATATTTTTAATAAGGTTGACGTGGTGGGCATGGTCACCACATCCACCGTGTAGGAGTGGCCTCTCCCTCCTAAGTTGAAACATTTTTTATTTCTTTGATAGAAAAGAAAAAAGAGAAATTAAAAGTTGAGGTAAGGCAATGCACTTGCAAGGAGTTGTTACCCAACTGACAACTATACTCACAAGATCTATATAAATTACCCTTTTGCCCTAAAATCCCTATTTGTATTATCATAGATTTTTATCTTTCAATGCCTGCTTATGGCAGCTTTTGTTCGATTGGAAATAAAACAGTCTTTGTACATGTGTATGAACTGGAAACTGTTGCAATGGACCTTCAAAGGGTTTTTTATTTGATCTATATTAAATTTTAATTTCTTTGTCAACAGTCAAAAATAATCATATAGTATCACCTTTTTTTTTCCTTCTCACCTTTAAATCTTTGAAAAATTATTTAATCTTCTATTTGAGAATTGTTAAGAAATGGAATTTATTTTATTACAAATAAGGATTTACACTGTTTAGTAGTATCATTTTTGGCTCTAATGAAACAAACAAAGTATTTTCACAGTTGTTAGCTTCCAATCTTTGTTGGACAGTTAGAAAAAAACTTAGTATGTATGAAATGGAAGCATCATACCATGGAAAATGCTTGAACAGATATCATAGGAATTCCGTAGTGCTCCATTACGTGGTTTTCCATTAGCTATGATCTGCACTAGCAATTAACTTGACTTTGTTTTTAGGAGGGTTTAACGATCGATTAAGAGATCATGGTAGATTCGACTTGAATTTCCGTTTTCTACCCGTACACAAGCGTTTCATGGTCGAGACACCATTCACTTAAATTTTTAGATACTAACGGTGGGTTCTACGGTACATATTTCAGTTTTAAACGCCGTAATCCGTTTTTTTGTCTGTTTAAGCGCTAAGGTCTCCCATAAGAAGATAAGTTATGACGCTGCGCACGCACGAAGAGAGATGTTTTGATTTTCTTAGAGAAACTGAAACGTTCTTAAATTCACTGTTATTGCATACATAGTATGAGCCTACTTTTGCGTTGAACGAATGCTTCATATCTTCACCGTAAAATTGCTTTCTTCAAACCGTAATGGTTTCCTACAATATATTTCAACATCATTAGCAAGATTGTTTAATTTGAGAAACTTATGGTGTCCACAGTCATGTGCTCAAAAACTAAAATCAATCCTATATTAAGACATATTCATAATGCAGAATGTCCTTTACTGATGTCAACAGAGGTGGCCCGAGCTCACATCTCAAGAAATAGAAACGATTAATTCATGAATCGCACCCGCAAGAAAATGAAAAGTTCACGAGTACAATGAGTCAATTTTCACGCACAGATAGCTTACTGTTTAAAGACAGAAGCTTTAGTTGTACTCTCGATCTCATCGATCTCGTCAAGGAAATCCAATCTTTCCAAAATGGATGAACACTGAGGCCTGACTTTCCGGTTAAACAGAGTAAGTTGTATCATTTTTGGACGCTAAAATCCATCACTAGTCAGAAAAGAGTGACGTGCTAAATCGAAATACAGTCAATACAAATCACACCCGCTAGAAAATGAATTGTTCACGACGACAATGAGTCGATTGTCACGCAAAGATAAGTTACCGTTTAAAGAAAGAAACATGGGTTTTACTGTGATCAATCTTGTTATGTAAATCAAACTTTTTAAAGAGTCAACACTTATAAGCTTGACGTTCTCCATTAAAAATAGAATAACACCTTTCATTTTTCATGTTCAATTACATCATGAGTGATAAAAGAGTGCCAAATATTTTACCATCCGACCCAACCAAACTCAGTCAATAAGCAGTTTATCATATGAACACTAACTCTTAAAAATTTCGACCCAAGTAGGACGCGATAGACGGGCATACAAGCACAAATCTTTTTTTTGTCTGTTTCAGCGCCAGAGTATCGCATAAGAAGATTCATGACGCTGCGCGCCCACGAAGAGAGATGTTTTAGTTTTCTCAGAGGAACTAAAACTCTCTTAAATTCAATGTTATTGCATACATAGTATAATTGTACTTTTCTGTTGATCGGATGCTTCATATCTCCACCGTTATATGGCTTTCTTCAAACCTTTATGGTTTCATACAATATATTTCAACCTCATTAACTTAGATTGTTCAGCATTGTTTAATTTGAGAAACTGATGGTTTCCACAATCACGCGTCAAAAACTAAAATCAATTCTATATTAAGACATATTTATCATGCAGAATGTCCTTTACTGATGTCAGCAGAGGCGGCCCAAGCTCACATCTCGAGATTAGGCAAACGATTAGTTCATGAAAGCGTCACGCGTTGTGTGACTCGGTGTTAAGTTACGAGAGTTGTTCACGTTAAAAGGTGTGGTGTGGTGAACCACATATGGTCGATTCGAAGCTATAAAAGTGTGACGTGTAAAACCGAATTAGATTCACTGCGGAGTAAACTGCTGATCGGTTTTCCAAATCAGTTCATGAAAAGTTGATTATCGCGCACAGATAGCTTACCGTTTAAAGAAAGAGGCTTTAGTTTTATTGGTAGGGATCTTGTAATGAAATTCTAATTTTCGAAACGGATGGACGCAGAAGCTTGACGTTTCCTGTTAAAAAAGGAATGAAATATGTTATTTTTACATGTTCAATTCCATCATTGGTCATTAAATTGTGAAGTACAAAACCGAAATTCATTCACTTGAGTTGGAACGCTGAAATCCTCTGAGCAAATGCTAACTCGCTCTCCATATCTCCCTCTCATTAATTCTCCCTTAGTATTCGATTTCCGTTTTGAATTTTCGAAAGTCGCATGAAAACTGGGCAGTTTAACTCTTACTACATGATCTTCTGCAAGATTGGAGATATATTTCTTATTGGTATTAACATTTTGTGAAATGAGAATCATTAGTTCACGTCTCGTACATAGTTAATCGCTTTAGGGAAAAAACACACCATTTTGATCCTTTACTTGATCGTATTTGATAATTGATCAGTTCCTATTCTCAGTGACTTTGTTAAATACTTTTGATCACAGTTTTCATTTTTCCTAATCACAAATTGGCAGCAACAGTGTTTGATAGAGGATCTTAATAAGATTTTTGTGAGCCGTTAAGCGTAAAACTTGACAAATTTTAACCTTAGCTCGTAAAAGAGTTAACGGTAAAAAACATTTCTAGTGGCAACAATGGAAAGATATTAACCGTTAGCCGTAAAAGCCATGCCAACACTCTTTTACGACCCTCTTGATACTTAGAGGGGGCATGCAAGGGGTTCATCGGGAGATTT